GAGTTTCTGAGCAGGGTGAGCAGAAGCAGGATCGGGGGTCGCAGCCCTCGTAGTCCCTCAGTTCCCACAGCCTGCTCAGCAAACTTCAGCTCTACCTGGGTGAGCAGCTTTTAATTGTGAGTCTTGGGTGACCTAACGGTGAGTCCTGGATCCACCCAGAACCCAACAAACAGCCCTCGGGCTCCTTGGTCCGATGGCCTTCCCGGCCTTTCCGGGAAGTGTCCCAGCCTGCACCTCTGCCCACAGACCACCTCTGCTGCCTCTCAGAGCCTCACCATTCTGTGGTTGAGCTAAGGGAAGTTGAGTCACGGCTGAGATGAGAGATTTCTGAGGACAACCCTCTTCTGCGATGGTTGTGATTACAAGGAGGGTGTGACTGCTGGCTGTCTTCCTGGTTTGGTGGATTCTGTGGCAGGAAGCATAAACCTAGTTTACCCATGTCTCCCTACTGCATCAAAAGCAAAAGTACAGAACAAAAAGCACCCTACTTACTCCTTATCCTTAGAGAAATGGGGGGAGGAGGGAGCCGCAACTGGGGTCTTCCTTCTGAATTCCTTACAATTCTCCTGGGAAGGGATCATCTTTCACTTCCTTTCTTAAGGTGCTGTGCCCCCCTCTCCCCCCCTCCCCTGCAGAATCTGCTCCCTGGGGCAGCCACTGGGTGATTGAAGAGCTCCAGGGCCCTGTGTAAGGTTCTGATTTTATAAGCCCACTTTGGGGGCCACTTAGCGGACGCTCCGTTGGAGACACTGACCTTTCCACTTGTCTCATTTCCCAGCTTTGCCTTCGAAAACCTGGACTTCATTCTCGCGCCTTACAGTGAAATTATCTTCTTCCGATCAGCTTGCCCCTCTCTCCTGCAAGGGCATTTTGAGTTTGCCGCATTGTCACTGTCTCTGTAATAAGCACAAGGATGGGGAGGTTGGGGTGGTGGGGTGCGCTGGCTGGAAGGGGCCTGGACGTGGAACTGCAGCCCCCTGTCCTGGCTGTCGGTTGAATTCTGTAGTGCTGCTGAGTGGTGGAGCAAGAGGCTATTAATAACCCTGAGAGTTTTGCAATGTTATTGAATTGCTTCGACCTAATTTCCACTTCCTTTCTAAAATGAAAATGAAAAGAGTAAGCAAATAAGAGCTGGAAGGCTCCCCATAAGGAAACCCTTTACCTGGGGAATGTTATCGGGAGACTTACTCTGCCCTCCCCTCTCCTGATGTCTCCACAGGGAGGAAAGCAGAAGGAGGCTTCCCCTTCTTTTATCTCGGGCAGGGGGACAGTCGGGTTCCCTACTGAGATGTGTTCTGATGGTAGATATGAAAACCAAACCTGAAGCGATGGAAACGCTGGGCCTTTGGAAGGTGGTGGGGCATGGAGGGGACATGAGACAACCAGGACAGTTCGTGCCAGCCCCTCTCCAAGTCAGAGCCAGCCCCGGTCGGGGGAGCTGAGGAAGTTAGATTTGAGCAGATACAGGTGCTGACCCAACCTTGATTCAGAGCCGGCACTCTGCTAGGTGCGAGACCGCAGGCCACACTGCGCTGGGTCAGAGCTGGGGAGAGGGGAGACGGGTGAGGACAGAGTGGACTGGGCAGCCTTGGTGGAGGTGTGACCAGAATGCAGCGGACGCAGAGGCCCCTGCCCTACCTCGGTTTGCTAGATGGAGGGGGAGCAGAGGGAAGCTAACGATGGGACAGAAAGGAAGTGATGTCTGAGCCGGGCTTTGAGGCTTGAAAAGGAGCTCTTCTGATGAGTCAGGAGAATGTGGCCTCCTTCACTTCAATAGCAGGCCGTCCAGGGAGCTCTGGCTAGACTGTGAAGGACTCAAGCCACGGGAGGAGGCGTGGGTCACGTGGTCAGGCAGTGGGGTCTCCTTACCTGTTAAAACAGCGAGCTCTTGTTACATGTACCTCTCGACTTCAGTCTGCCTCGCTTTAGGTACAACAAACAAAAATTGCCACCACCACCTCCGTGGGCCAGGTAGAGCACTATGCACTTTCATGTGGCTTCAGACAACACCCGTCTGGGGCCAGATCCCAGCTGTGCCACTTAAATTATGAGGCTGAGCATGGACTTGGCATTTCTGTACCTCCGTTTCCTTATCTGTAAAAAGGGATAATGATATACCACCAGGGTTAAATAAATTAATATGTGTGAAACCCTCAGAACAGCAATGCCTCAGCACTGTATAATTGTGAGCTTGTTCATCAGCCGCATCAAAGAAACACTGTTGAGAGAAGAGCTGACTTTGAAGCCCTAAGACCCTGCCATGAGGTCCAGAGCTCAGGCGATCTCTCTCTTGGGGAGTGAGGGGGTTGGAGAGGTGAGAAGGATGCATATGAAGGACAGGTATCTCAGGTCATCTGAGCTCCTGTAAAACGGTGGGGGTGCGGAAACACGGGTCAGCTCTGAACAGGTGGTCTGCAGCGCCACGGCCTGCAAGGTGCATCTTGGGACGTCCCCACATGGCCCATCTGTTTTAAACAGCCCGGATTACCCGAGAGGGCCCGCACTTCATTATGCAGGGGTGCGGATCGAGGGCCAGCCCGTTCTGCCCTCACGCTGCTATCCTGTCAGACCACCACTGAAGAGTTGTCTCCAGCTGGGCAGAGGCTGTTTCAGGGCTGGCTTGACTTAAGGGTGCTTTGTTGGTGGGGGTGAGGGACCCAGGCAGCGCCGCATGCCAAGTGCATGCACAGTGGCAGACAGTGACCTTCCTGGCTCTCCCTGGGACAGTGGGTCAGGTTTCCAGCTTCCGTTGTCCACCCGCTGCTGATTTTTCAGGCACGACGGCTTCTCCGAGGGCGTGGGAGTCTGCTTCTCTGCACCTTTGGCTCACCATGGTACCTGCTCTGAAGCTGTACCCTCTCCCGCCATTCACCAGCACCCTGGTCTATGTCTTTAAGTTCAAGAGGAAGCGTTAGAATAGTCCAGCGAGGGGGCGTCTTCGCCATAGTCCCAGCAGGGATGGCAGAGCTGGGGAGAGGGTCCTTCAGCACCAGCAGAACACGAGCCCAGTCACTTTCTTCAGAAGGGAGTGTCCCAGGCCAGCAGTCTTCTGTCCTGCCTACCCTGTCTCCTTGAAGCAGAAACGGAGCAAGTAATCAACAGATGAAAGCCATGCTGCCCTGTCCTGTGTCCATGAGTGTGGGGTAGGGACTGGCAGGCAGCGGCACGGGGTGTCAGTCATTAGGAGGCCTCTTGAAGGGGTGGGGGTGGGCCGGAAGGAGATGTGAAGGGATTTTCTGGGGGAGCAAGTTGTGTGTTGAGCGCTGGTTAAGGGAGGCGTGTGTGTACATGACAGACGTTCAGGTGCACGCACACACTTGCGTGCCTAAAGCTGATCTCACGGCTCACAGTCACCTTCTAATTATGGCAGACGGGCTGACTTGGACACAGATGCCTGCCTGGGGCAGCAGGGCTCGTGGTAGCTTTGCTGTGTCACTGGAACAGAGCATTTCAACTAGACGTCTGAAGGGGACCAGTGTCTTTTCAGAGGTTTGCTGTGTGTTGGGCACGTGGGCACAGGCAGCCCGCCTCGGCGCCACTAGGTGTGATTTAGCTGCAGCGAGCAGGAACAGGTGGGCCCCGGGGAGGGGGAGAACACCGCCCAAGTCAGCCCAGGTTCTGGCTCCCGTGCGACGCATTCGCTGGGTGAGCTTCGGCAACTTAACCAACCTCCGAGCTCCAGTTTGTCATCGTTAAGTGGAGACGATGATCTCACTCTGCCTACTTCATGTGGCTGCTGGGAGGACTGAGCAGAACAAGCAGAAGCAGCCCAAAACCATCTCTCACGCCGTTGCCTCTGAACATACTGGTGTTTTTTGTTTTGACGGCTGACTTCTGAAGCCGGCAGCCCTGGTCAGGGAATGGCCATGAAGGCCCCCCTCTCTCTGAGACCCGTAGCTTTAGGGAAGAGACTTCCCCACCCTTTCACCAAAGAGGTTTAGACCAAAGATGGTGAGAACTGACATCTGTTTGGGCTGAAAGACTGCTCGGTACATGAGTAACGGCTTAGCAACAGCTACGCGGCGTAACTTGGGTGGGCACCCGGGCTCCGTGGGGTCTGAATCGCAGCTGAGTGGTTCAGCCTGAGGGCGCAGGAGAAGGGTCTTTTTCGTTAAGAGAGACTCTCCTGACCCTATAGGCAAGTTACGTAAGATGCATCGAAATGATCCATCAGCCGAGTGACTTCCCTTTGGAGAGAAAATGCTCTAGCCACTGCTCGGAAGACCACTAGGCGAGGCTGGTTGCCTAGACACCAGTCACATGGGCCCATCTTCCAGGCTTGCTAGAAATGATTTATTCTCCTTCATTTTGGAGGAAGGGGGAGCGGCTGGGTACTTCCAGAGCCTTCCCCCAGGGGGCCTTGGTGAGGGGCTCCTCACCTCCCTGCACTTGGCTTGGCTTGGCCCTTGGCAGTGGGGACTAAAATAGCATTTCCTGTCCCAGTTCTCTTCCCAGTTTTCTGAACCCCGCCTCATCCCACACAAATGAGGCTCTGCCTTGTGCCCTTTGAGGGGAGGGAGTAGCAGCAAGAGCGCATGTGGCCGCTGCTGAGGCGGGTCTCCGCGGGTCTCCGGCACAGTGGAGTAGGAACAGCCCGCTCGCTCCCTCAGCTGACTGCTCAACGGGCGGGCGAGGCAGGTCTCCAGGTCTCGCCTAATCTGTCCTGTCCAGAGCCAGGAGTTTGCAGTAAATATGCTCCCTACCTCAGCGTCCTCTTGCCCTGACACTCAAGTGTCACATTGGCAGCTCTTGCTCCTGGCTGATCTGCAGTTGAGAGATAGGTCTGTCCCATTTCTCCTTGCTTTCTTAATCTAAAGAGACGAAAAGCCCAAGGAGAGGTTGTGGTGTGATCCTGAGAAATTCCAACCATGTAGTTCCAGGTGTTACTGTGGACACTGTCTTCTGATTCTCCAGAATTATTAGCGAGGGGATGATGAAGGCACACTGAGTGACTCCCCTCACCGCCTCCCCCACTTTGCTGATTCTCTCTCCCCAGGCAGCTGTGTCTGTGTGTGTGTCTTGGGGAAGCAGAGTCCGTCGGAAACGATGCCTCCGCCATCAGACATCGTCAAAGTGGCCATCGAGTGGCCAGGTGCTAATGCTCAGCTCCTTGAAATCGACCAGGTAAACTCCCCAAATGCAAGCCACGATGCAGGAGAGGGGTCAGGGTGTGATGGCAGAGACTGTCTTCAGGGAGAAGACCTTGGCACCAGGAGTAGGAATAGCAGGCAGAAGGCTAAGGAGTCCCGCCCTCCAGACGGTCAGTTACGTTGGCCTAGGAAAGGCGTCCTCTTCCGCCGAAGCCATCAGGGACTTCCATGCTTAGGCCTGGGCTGAGCCCGCTTGGCAGCGCCTCGCCGGAGCCAGGCATGAGTGGGCGTGCCTGCTGGTGAAGGATCTCTTTCTCTTTCAGAAACGGCCCCTGGCATCCATCATCAAGGAAGTTTGTGACGGGTAAGTTGTTACTGCCCTCGTTTTGGACAAGGGCAGGCCACACACTAACAGAGCACCGCAAGACCCGGAAAGGAATCCTGCGGAGGCCTCCAGTTAGTAGGACCCCAGTGAGGATGCTGGGGGCCCTGACTCTCAGGAAGTGGAGCTGGTGAGGATGTCCCTGACTCCAGCCAACTGTAGTCTTTCCGTTAAGCCCTGAGTGCCCTGCCTGAGTCCATTCTGGGAGCTGACACCTGTGTGCACTTGTATGTCAGCCTCTTCTTGGGGTGTCAGTCTGTGCAGGCAGCCAAGAAAGTGGTTTATATAACATCTCAACCTAATTCTTGGGCATTTCCCTCTGTGCTCCAGAGAGACCCCTCACACTCTACTGAAGAGTGTGTCTTCGCAGCTTCGCGGCAGCCCAGAGGAATGACCGCTTGGGCCCCCTGCTCCTCTCTTCCAGGTGGTCCTTGCCCAACCCGGAGTACTATACCCTGCGCTACGCGGACGGCCCCCAGCTCTACATCACCGAGCAGGTCAGTGGGAGGCGGCCCCAAGGGGAGGGCGCTCGGTCCATTGCAGTCTTCCAGTGATGGGGTAAAGAGCTGACCCCTGGGCAGATGAGGGGGGCCAGCCCTGGGTCTCCTGGGAGTCAGCACCTGCTGTGAGCCAACCCCGTTCTAGAAACCGAGACTGGAAAGTCAGGTCTTAGAAGTTCTTGGCCAGGAAACAAACAGGAGAAAGGGGCCTGAGTGAAAAGTCTTAGTTACAACCACTTTAAAAATGAAAACTCTCGTTGATTGGCCTGGCTTACCCAGTTGTAATGCTCTACCGTAATTCCTTTCTTCTCTTTCGTCCCCAGACTCGCAGCGACATTAAGAATGGGACCATCTTGCAACTGGCCATCTCCCCGGTAGGGCCTCGCTCTCCTGGGCAGCTCCTTATTTAACAGCTGCATGGGGGCATTTGCTGTGGGCCTGACCCTGTTCTAGAAACTGAGTCTATGGAGACTGAAAAGTCAGTCTTTGTTTTCACAGCTAAGTTGGGAGCAAACAAACAAATACAATCTAGGGCCTCTCTCAGGGCACTTGAGAGAAGGTTGCTTAGGGAGCTGCGGGGCTCAGAGAAGGAGCCCCCGACTCAGCCTGAGGACTTCCAGAAAGCCTTCCTGGAAGGGGGACACTTTAGGCCAGATGTGGATAAGTAAGCAGAATGAACTGGAGAAAGAAGACAATGACGAGTGTTCTGAGCAGAGAGAAGTCTCTGTGTGGGGGAGGTGGGAGCGCCGGGTGGCCGGAGCTGTGGATTCAGGGAGTCGCCGGATAGTGAAGGCACCCGAGGGCCTGCGATTGGGCTGGAGCTTTGTCCAGAAGCAACGTGGGGCCGTTGAAGGGTTTTTAAGCAGGAAGATACATTATGTTTAGACTTATATTTTATAAAGATCACTTCAGTGACAGTGTGAAAATGGGCTAAAAAAAGGAAGGTTGGTGGTAGGAGGAATCTTTAAGAAGCTAATGAAGAATGGGAACAGCCTGTGCGGGTGACTGGCAGTGGCGACGGCGGAACGGGCAGGAAGAGCAGCTGGGAGCTAACCTGGTTGACTGCGGAGACAATGCCAGGTGTGGGAGGAGAGGGGAGACTGAGATGACCCCCGGTGTCTGCAAGAGCAGCCCTTCAAGGCGGCTTCCGTGCTCTGAGGGCATCCCGAAGGGTAGGAAACCAGGAGCCTGCAGCGGTCACTGCTCAGGCAGGGAGTGCCTGGAGAGAGGAAGCGTGGTCTGCAGCGAGGGGAACGTAAACCCAGGACGGGAAAGGCTGTCCGCTGACCAGGACGCGTGCGGTACGGGTGAGCACGGAAGCAGTGTGGTGGGCGACAGTAGCCACATCGCTGCGAGTTGAGTCGAGGAAAGGTGAGGAGGACCTTGGGTCGACCACGTCTGCAGAAGTGGTTACTAAGGGAAGTGCACAGAGAGGTGGTGGCTTGGGGATGTACACAAGCATTTAGAGGAGTCGCAACACTCCTGAGGGAGCTTCAGCGAGAGGTCTCCCTCCTCCAGGCCTGGCCCTGCTGCTGCAGCAGCTTTTGTGTGTCCTTGAAAGGATGTTCAGGTAGAAGAGAAGGCTGGACGTGCAGGAAAGAGGGGTCATTTAGGAACAGGAGCTTGCTGGGTCCTGGCGGGAGGACCCAGGTGAAGGGATTCACTTCACTTGCTCGACCTCCAAAGAGCTGGCCGGTGTGGCCGGCGTCTGGAGACACATGTCGGAGGGCGCCGGAAGTGGCCGGTGCTGTAGCCCCTGCAGGGAGAGCCTGGTTCACTTGTGAGCAGGGAATGTAGCAACTGACATTTACTGAACAGAGTGTCTCCAGTACATACTTTGCACATACTGTGTCATTTAATCCTGACAGATAGCCTGAGGTGGGTCTCCTTGAGGACCCCATCTTGCAGACCAAACAGATTTAGCAGGTTGTATAACCTGCCTCTTGTTGCACAGCTGAAACTGTGATAGCGGCTCGCAAATCCAGGGCTGTCTGACCCTGGACCTGTATTGTGTCCACTGTCTGCTTCCTCAGGCCTCTTCTCATCCGGGGACTTCACTCCCCCCAGGCTCTGCTAATTGAACGTGACAGTCAGGGATTACTCACTTAATATGGAAGTGCCCAAAACTTTACATACCTCTTGCACGGAGTCGTTGACTTTCTCAGAGGCACGTCAGTGGAGCAGGAGGCAGAAATGCTGTCTCAGGAGACAAATTAACATTTGGAGCTGGAGTCTCTGTGCAGTGCTGACCAGTGCTTTTCAGACTGTTCTTTTTATGATCTTTGTTGGAGCGCATATTCTTCGATGGTCTGTGGAGACACGGGAGGATCTCTGCCTCAGCAGAGCAGTGTGCTGCTAAAGGGCCGTCTTTGTATGAAGGGGGACACAGAGGGAGGGGGGGCAGACCTGACCCTGGGCAGCAGCGGGAACTTGACATTGTCAGAAAAAATAAAGACCAGAGTGTGCCTGTCCCCCGGGCTCTTCCCTCGCAGCTGAGAATGTTCAGTTAGCACAAAACTTAGAGAACGATGACGCAGTAGGTTGAGGCGCTGAATCTAAGGTTCAGCAGAGGGGAGAGCACTGCAGGAGGACCCAGCGGTGCAGCCAGGCAGCATCCTGTGAGGAAAGTCCCTACGGGGGGAAGGGCGGTGCTGAATCTTCAGAGGCCATTGTTTCCAGAAAACTTTCAAAATTAGCTTCATAATCTTAAACTTTCCCAGGACTATCACGTTGAGAAACAGTGATAAGGACTGTGAGGGAAAGTTTAAAAAAAAAAAAAAGGTTAGTTCTGGACTGAAAGGAAACTTGAAGATCATCTGGCTAAGTTCTCCGCCAGCTGCAGACCCTGGCTTAGCATCTCTGGCCTTCCCCTTCTGCCTGATTGCTTCCCACAACCATCGACCTGGTCTAATCCTCCCAGAGACAGCCCCTCGCCATCTGACCGCTTCAGTTGGTAGAAACCTCTCCTCTGTGAGCCAGTAGCCATTTCTGTGACTCACGGGGCTGGTTGCATAGCTGGTGCACGGTCCCCTCTCAGATCTTCACTCTCTGGGGAGATCAGAGTGGCCCAGAAAGGATACAAGTAGCTACAGACCGCCCTGGGCGAGCTGATAATCCCTGATCATGCCAGTGCACAGTCTAACAGCCCCAAGCAGTGCGACGGGATGGGTCTGCCTTGGGCTCAGGCAGCCCCAGAGAGGCCCTGGGGCCCTCCACAGAACAGTCACCTGCTGCACGGAGCAGGTGGCAGAGCTCCTGTCCCTGGTCTCACAGTCCCGGGCCGCACGCCAGCTGATGGAGAGGACCCAGTCATCCAACATGGACACCCGACTGGACGCCATGAAGGAGCTGGCCAAGCTCTCGGCAGACGTGACGTTCGCCACTGAGTTCATCAACATGGAAGGCATCGTCGTGCTGACGCGGCTGGTGGAAAGTGGAACCAAACTCTTGTCCCAGTGAGTATGGCTGGGTCTTGTCCCAGGGTGCAGACAGCCGCCGCTTTTGCTGGCATCTTACTCTTGTTTCCAGTGACATGAGTGTACTGAGCGCCTTCTGTGTGCAGAGCAGCGTGCCAAGCAACAGGGTCTCCCCCAAGGGGTCTATTCGCAGTTGTCCTCCATCTTACGATCCAGCTGGGCCCTCATGAGCTAAGTGGCGACAGAGCACAGTTCTGTGCCTAGTGGGTTAAATTAGGGGTCAGGAAGCAGGAAGGTGGCCAGAGCCTGTTGGCTTATGGGAAATGATTGGCCTGATGGCAATTAGTGTCAGGCTGTCCACTATCTGCCAGAAGGGACCTCTGTTCCGCCCCACCGTCTCCCCCCGCCCCTTGCGTGTTTACTGTAGGTTACCCCACCTTTCACCCCACCACGGGGAGGGGACAACTTTTATGTGCCCCACCATCTTCACCAGCTTCCTGGCTGAGGGGAGGTGGCGGCTGCCTTGTCGGTCAGCAGGGAATAAGCAGAGGTCACGTTTGCCTCCTGAGCCTGAGGAGTGTAAACTCGCAGAGAGGGAGTCAGACACCTTTCAGCTGGTGGAGCTGGATCAGCTGTTGAGGTTTCCAGCCCAGCCACCACTGTCTCGGGCACTTGTTTTGCGCCATGGATTTCCAGCTGCACCGAGATCCTGAAGCCGCCGCAGCCGCCAGCCCCGGCCCAGGTTCGGCCGCCCCCGAGGCTGCAGGCCTGGATTGGCCTCCTCCCTCCTCTCTAAAGGGGGTGATCCCTTGTTGTTTTGTCGTGAGGATCCTCCATGAGAGAGGGCCTGCACATGCTTCATACTGGGAATTTGAATAGTTTGCTGATTGGGAAGCACTGCACAGATGCGTAGAGGATTAAATACCACAAAGAGGAGGGAGAAAGGAGAGGAACATTTTAATCTTTATTCTCTAGCTGCTCTTTGGTAACAGCTTTGCATCACTGTCATCTTGCCCTCACTACAACCCAGTGAGGTTAACACAGCAAGACTAACTCGATTTATACAGGAAGAAGTTAAAATTTGAAAAGATAAAATTTACAGTCAGGAAATCATTGAACAGGAATTGAGCCCATCCCCAGAGCTTGTGCTCTGCGTTGTTCATCGTGGGAACCTGGGTGGGCCTCGCCCACACGCGGCTAGGTGTGCACGCTCCCGTGAGGCCCCTGTGTGGCCCCTTGCCCCAAGCCCCCACTGAGTCCGCGTTCCCCTGCCTTGCCCGCCGCAGCTACAGCGAGATGCTGGCGTTCACCCTGACTGCCTTCCTGGAGCTCATGGACCATGGCATCGTGTCCTGGGATGTGGCGTCCGTCTCCTTCATTAAGCAGGTGAGGCTCGGTATCTCTCTTCTCCCTCCGTTGCCAGTTTTCGCAGGCTCAGGTGGGGTGGCAGGCGGGACAGCGTGCTGGCAAGGACCTGCCAGGGCCCTGCGCCTGTGTTCCTTCTCCCGCTCTTGTCTCCCTGTGGCTCCACTCGGCGCCTACCCTGAGAAGGTGGGACAGGCTCGCCGAGCTGAATACGGGCACGGTGGGGCCGGCCTCGGGGGGCCTGGAGACACGGCCCGCTGGCAGCCAGGACCACCCCCCCCTTCTGCCTGCTTCCTGAACCTCCTCTAGAGGAGAACAGCAGTCCTTCACTTCATTGCCCGATAGTACAGCCTCAAGGTGCCGCAAGAAGGGGCCGTGGTGATTCAGAAAGCCGAGCTGAAAGCCGTGAACTCCGCGGTATCTGCCGTCACTGACTTAGGGTCGCTGGGGATTTCGTGGTGCTAGAGAGATTTAGGCAAAGTGAAATGCCCTTGTGTCAAGCATGTTGTAGTGGGGATGGAGGCCACAGACTTGAGGGTCCCTCAGATCTGCGTCTGGGGTAGCGTATGTGAGGAGAGGAGCACATGAAAGGAGATCCTGGATCCGCGATCCTCTGGTCCCACACTTAGCTTTGAACACGCACCCCGATTTTGAAAACAGGCATTAAGTTCGTTAACCCTGAGGCAGCACAGTTGACGGGTGCTGCCACGTGAAGTTGAGCTGTCCGTGCCTGGAGAATCCCTGGCATGTTGGTCAGGATTGCCAGGAACTGGATGCCCCTGTGCCATGGGCATCGTGCCTGGGAGGGGCCTGCGTGGGCTGGCATCGGATCCCGAGGCTGTCCGTTCTCTGAGGCCTGGGCCTCCTGCCTTGCCCTGTCTGGTCAGATTGCAGGCTACGTGAGCCAGCCCATGGTGGACGTGTCCATCCTTCAGCGGTCCCTGGCCATCCTGGAGAGCATGGTCCTGAACAGCCAGAGTCTGTACCAGAAGATCGCCGAGGAGATCACTGTGGGACAGCTCATCTCTCACCTCCAGGTGTGAGTAGGAGCCCCTGCCCGCTCTCTGCCCGCTCCGTCCTCCTCTCGCCCCTGATTTGTGAAGTCTTCCCACCCGACTCCCACGGTGCTTGTCTCCTGAGCTGCTGGTCGCTCGCTCACCCACTCACCTCCGGTTCCACACGGCTGCTGGAGCTGCCCCATAGCCCCAGGCGAGCACATCCTGCTCCTGCTCAAAGGCCACTGACTTCCTTGCCCCTGAAGTGACGTTTCCCTCCATTTTCCTTAACCACCATGGCAGAATTAGATGGTTTCTCCTCGATGGGCCAAATCATCTGTCTGTACCTGTGGTAACTCTGTTGACATGACGTAATGTATTCTTACTACGTCTTCCATTTTAAGCCTTGAGCTCAGGTACAGGGGTCAGTCATTTGTATATCCCCTCTTTGATTTAGGTGAAAGCTTCAGTAGTGATGATTGGACGAACACTTACTGAGCCAGCAGTGTGCTGTGGTGTGCGGGGCGTGAACGCAGAGGGGAGCTCAAATCCTGGCTTGACCGTACATGCGGTCTCTGCCGCCAGCAGGTCACCCCATCTCTTCCAGCCTCAGTTTCCGCATCTCTAAACAAGAATTAAGTGTCCCCCACGTCTCAGACTTGTGAGGATCAAGGGAGATTTAAAAAGGGAAAGCCCAGCCCAGGACAGGTATTCAGTAAATTTAGGGCTGTTTTTCTTTTTTAAGAAGCTTAGCGCTTCCGAAATGTCATTGAATACTAAACAGAACAGAAGACGGTGTGGAGAGCTGTTCCTCTCTGCCATTCCTCTTCCTCCACTGCCAGCCGCTGCACACGTTCGAGGGGCTGAACTTCAAAAGCCGGGCTGGCGATTCTGCCGCCTCTCTCACTCTTGCCCTGCGTGTTGGGCATTGAAGGGTGCTGCCGAGCCCCGCCAGCTCCAGGGAGGCCAGGGCTCCCAGAAGTTTCCAGCAGCCCTGTTTTCACACACTCTCCTCCCCCTGCTCCTCCCCACAGAGCCAAGGGAAAAGAAAGCACAAAGGAATTTGCAGCTCTGGTTTTTGCTTGTTCCTTCTAAGGAACCCCGCAGCCTGTCTCTGGATACTCAAAAGCCAGGAAGGCTGATGGGGGCCAGAGGGCAATGTAAACTCTGGAGGGCGGGTCCTGGCTCTTCAGACTCGCCTCTGCTTCTTTGTCTCTGAGTGGGGGTGTTCGGTGGCCTCCCTCAGGATGCTAGAGGAGCACGTCATTTCTTAGGCCCCAGTAGCTGCCACCAGAAGTCTTGTGCTGTGTGCTGAGGAACGCTGCCCACCCTCCACTAGCTCCCGTGGTGCTCCCTGCCTGCCGCTAGCTCCAGCGGTGCTCCCGGCCAAGCAGGAACCTGGCCCTCTGGAACACGCCATCCCATGCGCCTCCTGCATGGCACGTGGAGAGCCAGGCTCCAGGATTCTGGGCAGATTTTTAACAAATTTGGACTCTTCTTATACATACTATATTTACCTTGACTTTTCTTTACTGAATAATACATCCTATACATCTCACGTCAAGGATTCTTCCAAATCTTTTTGTATCCCAACAGTCTTTGGAAATCAGTAATAGCTGTGACTCTCATCTCCTTAGAAAAAAATACCACATAGTCAAAGATGTAGAATAATTCCTGCACCACTTCCAGGATTCACAGATGCCCTAAGCCCATCCCGAACCCTAGGGCGTGAACCTTTACCCTAACCCCGGGGTGGTTTTTAATGGCTGCTTAGATGTCCTCACGTCTGAGAGTGGCAGGTGGACGTTTGGCCTGCTTGCCGCTCTTTCCAATGTCACTTTAAGGACGCCTGCCACCACCCCCACCCCGTGCCGCCTTGATGACTCTAAGGAGCAGCCAGCTCGGAGCGCTGGGCCGGGAGTGGGCCCCTTTCCAGGCCATTGAGACTTAGCCCCGACGATTATCTGACTAGTCTGTGTGTGATTGGTCTCCAGGCGTCACCTTGCCGGTCAGTCTCCTAATCTCCCTCTGCTTCTTTCTCCATTGACACAGCTCCAACCAGGAGATTCAGACCTACGCCATTGCACTGATTAACGCACTTTTTCTGAAGGCTCCTGAGGACAAGCGACAGGTCTGTGCTGCCTCTTCAAGCTTTTCATCTGGGCTCCTCTGAGAGAAGAATTCTCACCCACCCACCCTGTGCTGTGCAGACAGCAGGGACCCAGCCATTTTCCTGAGAGTCTTTCCTCCTGGCCCTCTGGTCAGAGCCCATCTGGGCAGATTTGTTACTGTGACCCAGGGAAGAACCAGGAGGGAAACAGCTGAATCCAAGGTCAGAGCAGGACCGGATAATGTGCTTCTCCAGAGGCCTGGAGTGCAGCTTTTTCTCGGCTGTGGGCCCTCTGGCCCGCCCGTCAGCTATTGCTTTGCCCGTGGCCCTGAGTGGCCTGGGACAGGAGTAACACGGCCACATTCCAGTAAGATCTCGTTTACACACACAGGCAGTAAGCCTGATTTGGCCTTCGTTTGCTGACACCTTGATTAGAACATGAAGAAGACGAGCCCCTCCAAGATCACTGTTGAGGCTAAAACCAATGAGATCCTTACTAAGGGAGTGAAGCGGATGACCTAGCCCGTTTCATATCCAGACACCCAGGTTCCTATTTCTGTCTCCCCTGGTAGCTTTGCGACATTATGCAAATCACTCTGCTTCTCCGAACCTGTTTCCCACCTGTAACATGGGAGCAACGTACTCCATTAACTTTTCAAGGACATCATGGGAAAAACAAGTCCTGTTTTGTAAGTGAGGAAACCAGGAACCAGCGGGCGGAGGAGCAGTCCGGTGCTGAGCCCAGAGCCCTGAGGCTAACTCCTCTCCTGGCACTGGCTGGCAAGTGCTTCAACCGCGCTGGCCGTCAGCCTCTCTAGAGTGAAAGGAGAGCCCTTGACACTAACATTCTAGATTTCTCTTGCAAAACTCCAAGTGGTTAGACGAAAGAAAGACTTTAAGTCTCGGTCAATACCATGGGCTCAGTAAGTTGAAATTTATGTGGGATCATGTACCAAGCTCTTGGTAGGTCTTAGTGGGAGGACCAGGAGCATCTGTGGTTCTGTCTGTCCTTGTCTTCCTCGGATGGCTTTGCTCTGTTAATCTCTTCCTTCCTAGTCCTGTTTTGAATGTAAGCCGAAAGCTCATTCTTCCATCTGCTTCTCTGTGCCTTTTGCTTTCTGTCGGCAGGACAAGCTTCTTAACCCTCTAGACCTACCTGTCACTGTAAGTAGCATCCCTGTGTGGAAAGGGCCCCGGCTCTCTTCCAGGTGGGAGGTCAGAGCTGGGTGAGAGTCTCATGATCTGATCTAGGTGTTCCGGAAACCCCAAGACACAGGGGCTGCGAAACGCAGATGTCCAGACACTTTGGGGAGGCCCGCGGGTGACTGTCCCGTATAGGCCTGCGGAGATACCTGCCCCAAGGGTGGGCGTCTTCCCTTCGTAACTTGCCTGTGCTGTGGGTCTGTGGTTCAGCCAGGGGAGCTCAGATGCAGAAATAGCCTGTGACTTTCATCCAGACAATCCCAAGATGCATCGCCTTCTGGCTTGCTGTAGCGAAGAGTAAAGGAAATCCGTGCCCTTTTGGATGCTTGCTAGGCTGAAGGAATTTGAAAAGGTTTAGAGAGCTGACAAAAGGGAGTTCAGATGCTCATTTCTTTGGCGGAGGAGCTTGAGAGAGGTCGGCTACAGGAGGATATGAAAAAGGGTGAGTGCTTTTCCCCACAGAGAAGCCTTCTTTCCAGGGCCTTTATGTTTTAACAGAAGCCCACTGGCCAAGTATCTACTTTGTGAGCTGTCCACAGCAAGATTTAATCTCAAGCTCCTATAGCTTTCAAAGAAGTTTCTAGGCCACCTTCCTCCTCTGCTACCCAGATTGTGCTCAGGGGATGCAAAGTAGAACTTAATGTTCTGGCAGTGTCAGCCATTTGGAATATTGCTAGAAATCTTGACGTGAGAAAGGCCTTTCAGCTGAGCAGAATGACAGAGCCCATGGATATGGCTGCAGAGGAGAGGGGCCAGCGCCCCCGGGCCCGCTGATTTAGAATATCTCTAAAATGAAACGAAGGCAGCAGTTTAGAAAGTAAAGTCATACTAATTAACATTAGTAAGAAGTGATGGCTGACAGGGAAGCAGGAGACGAAAGAATTATGAAAAGCTGTCAGAAAAATTAAAAGCACAGTAGTCTGGGACCATTTTGTTTAGGGGAAAATAGCTTCACATTTCAATAGCTCCTTAGGGCATTACAATGTCACAACAGAATAGTAACTGATGTTCTTTTTTATGAAGCCAAGTCTTTGGCCGTGATTAAATTATAATCATTATGTTCTTTTCAGAAATAAAGACATGTATATAATGTACTTTTAGAAGATTTGCATAAGAATGGTCAAAATAATGATACTGAGAGGACCCTTAAAGCTTCACTCCCTAGAAGAGTCACTTATGTGTGATACTTTATGTCCCTAGTGCGCTAAATAAATAAAGCATTACTGTCAAATTCTGAGCCACATACAATAAGATGATGACCCTATTATGAAAAATTACCCCTAGATACCCAATGCTTTGTTATTTAAACCACTCAGAAGTGAATCGCGTGGCAGTGCTGGGGCAGAGTCCTGGCCTGGATTGGAGTGGGCGCCTCCCTCCACAGCCTCCTTGGCGGGGGTCTGCCCCTGGGGGGGGAGGGGGTCTGCCCCTCAGGATCTGCCTCTGTGTGTGTGGCTTGGGAATGTGTCTCCGCTGTGCTCCCGCGCCTTGTCCATCAGCCGCATCCTGTAACGCAGTGTCTTGTCCTGACTGGTCTGCGTCCCTCTGCAGATGATGCAGTGAATTGGGCCCCGGGGAGGGAGGCTGTATTTGGGGTCGCTCACACTCACGAGGAAGTGAAGGAGGTTGTCAGCCTATAAGATGCATTTGGTGTCACATTGTTTTTCCCATTTGCCTGCCGGGCCTTTGAGAGGAGAGCACATTTCAGAGAGGAGCAGCAGGGTGGCTGCAGCCTTCCTCTTCTGTCTGCCCAAGCTGTGAGTCTGCCGCCTCACCTCACACGTGCTTACTTTCTCCAACAGGACATGGCCAATGCGTTTGCGCAGAAGCACCTCCGGTCCATAATCCTTAATGTAAGTCCCGGGTCAAGCTGTAGTTGCTAGGCTTGTTTTGTTACTATTAATAGCAACGCTTACTACTATGGTGCTGTTACTGAAATTAGGATGGGGGGGCTTCCTGTTACCAGGAAGGGGGGGTGTGGCTGGAAGAGGCTGAGGTGGGCGCTGGGGCTGTGGGAGCTGGGAGGAAAGCCTGGGGGTCAAGGAGGCCTCTTCAGGTGTCAAACACAAGGGAGAATCTGGAGACCTCAGTGAAGGGCCCCGAGCAGGTCCCTAGACCTCTGTGCTCACCGGGTGTGGAGACTCAGGGCACGGCAGGGCGCCAGGCCCTGGAAGCACAGGGTTCCTGTGGGTGCTCCTGTGTTGGGAACAGGATGCTGAGGTGACAGAATTCACGAAGTCGGCTGGGGCACTTGTGAAGTCCAGTGACCAGCTGGACCTGCAGCGCCTGGTAGATTCCGCCTCGTGGAGCAACCCCCCCCTGCTGACTGCATCTCGGGCCAAAGACCCCTCCAGCCTGGCGGGAGGGCCCTGCGCACAGTGCTCCAGAGCCCCGCACACTGGTCTGCACACCTGAGCCTGTGTCCTCCGCACATGTGGGGCGAGGGCCCCTTCTCAGGGAAATTGAGTGAATTTCAAGGCTATGACCTACCTGAATGAGCTTACAAGTTGAGCTGGGCTTGTGAACAAGCCGAGATTCCACAGTAGAATCCCTGTCAGGGTCAGGACCCGAGCCTGGGCTCTGCTGGGACCCGGTCAGGGTGCTCTCTTCAGTGCCAGGCCGGAGCGTGTAGGCCTCCAGGTCCTGGACAATAAATGGGACTTGAGGTGGAAGTAAAACTGGAGCTGTGTTGCTTCTGCTTCACTGGCAGGAGTGTTGTTTTGCCACAGGTCTGCTCTTGAGAAAGGGGGTTAAGGTGAGCGAGAACCAATATTCCGTCAGCTTTACCCTTTCCAGGGTGGTGCTCTGGATTGTGGAGAAAGGTGAGGAGAGAGGAGAAGGCAGAGTGGCAGAGAAGGGAAAAGACTGTAGTGGGCTGAGGGGAGAGGCAGAGAGTCAGGAGCAGAGCATGAAAGCGCAGCTTGGGGAGGCGCAGGCTAAGAGGGAGCCTGTGGCTTCACAGGAGGGTGAGGGCTTCGCAAACACAGGCGTGAAGGAGAGGCCGGAGAGGGCAGCGAGCGCTGCTCCCTGGGGCTCGGTGGCTGCGGGACGTGGCTCTGGAGCACTTGAAATGTGTCTGGCGTGACTGGGGGCTGGAATCGGTGGTTTCCCCTTAAGTTTAGCTCCCCACCTTTGGCCACCATGTTGGGCTGTGTGGGCCTAGAGGAAGACAGGGCCATGGAAGAGCTGGGCCAGAGCAGCGCCGTGCCTGAAAGCACTGGGAGAGCCAGCTTCCGTTCATGGGCTGGTTGCGCAGAAGAGGAGCGGGGACATTCATTCCAGTGTTTTCTTTAACCCGGTATATCCCAAACAATTGGAGTGTATAATGAGTAGAGAAAAGTTGCAGTGGGATACCTTCCATCTTTTTCATACTAAGGTTTCAAGACCGGGTGAGCGCCTTTTGTTTGCTGCACCTAACAGTTTAGACCAGCTGCGCCTCAGGTGTTCAGCTGCCACCCGTGACTAGGGGCCACCAGGTGGGAGCGAACGGCCCAAGGAGAGGGTTCTGGAGCCAGGTCAGGCCCTAACAGCCCACGTAAACCTAGAGGGCGCTCTGGAAAGACCCGATGCAGAGAGGGCTGTCAGTGGGGCATGCTGTGCTGAGGGGATGTTCCACAGCCATCTCTGGGTGGTGTGTGCGGCCCGGCCCGCACCTGCGCTTGAGCTGAACTTGTGACTCGTGTCACTGAGGCCAGACTTTCCAATTTAAATAAATGTTAAGTGCCGTACGTGCAGGGATCCACCATAGTGGGCAGCACAGCTGAGAGCCACAGCTGGACTAAGGACGTGAAGGACATGGAGGTGGCACTTGTGGGAAATGGGACAAGGTCTCGTTTGATGAAGAAAAGACTAAATGTGACAGGATTCACAATAATGGAGAAGGGCCGAGAAATACCAGGGAGCAAGCAGGAAGGAACAGGCTGTCGTGGGAGTGAGAACAGGACAGGGAGAGACGAACAGGGCCAGCAGTGATCAGTCTGGAGGAACTGTGGAGGGGGTGTCGCATGCTAGAAAGAGCAGGAAAGGAGGGGGGCCCACGTTTGGGGGTGGGCATCAGAGGGAGAAGGCGAACTGAAGGGGAGGTGGGAGGCCAGGGTGAGGGGAGGTGGGTGAGGGCAGCCAGGGCCGTGGGGAGGGTGCACAGGGTGACAGGACAGGGAGAGAGGAAGGGGAGGGCCGTGGGGGCCTCACAAGGAGTTCAGGTGCTCCCTGTGAGCAGAGTCCCACGCGTGCCTGTGTGCTCTGTTGTCCCTGGCTCGGAACCTGCCGGGCCCTGACGGCAGCAGATCACCCAGGCCACGGCCTCACCGATCTCACCTGGTAGCTCCCTCTTGGAGTAGCCTCCACCCTTCATCACGTGCCCCGCCCAGGGGAGCGCAGCGAATGGGAGGGTGCCCTCTGGGCAGCAGGGCCTGAGTGGAGCCCATTCTGCTCCTTCCCTTCTGGGGGGAGGTATCCCTGTGGGGGAGGAGAGCCTGCGTCACCCAGCCTGGTGGTCTAGTGATGTGACTCTGGTAGAGGGCAAAGCCCGACCCTTTGTTCCCTGCCTCTGCTTTGGCCAGCACGTGATCCGAGGGAACCGCCCCATTAAAACTGAGATGGCCCATCAGCTGTATGTTCTCCAAGTCCTGACCTTTAACCTTTTGGAAGAAAGGATGATGACCAAGATGGACCCCAATGACCAGGTCGGTGCTGAGTGGAGCTTCCCTTTTGGGTGTGGTACACCCCACCCAGAGTCCTTGGAGTGCGCTGGGCAGGCCCTTGCCTGGTGATTTGAGTCCGCTCTGGGAGCTCTAGTTCTGCGCCTCTCCTGGCTCCCTGCTGGTAGAGGACAACCTGTCAGCAACTGTCTAGGCCCAGCTCTGTCCCGCTAAGGTAGAGGGGGGCTTCCTGTGAGATCCGCCAGGGCCAGAGCTCTGTCCAGAAAAACCTGAGCCACTCCCCCTCCTCCTGACTCCCTCGGCTGGCTGACTCACCTGCTGTCTGTTTGCCTCTCAGGCTCAGAGAGACATTATATTTGAGCTGAGGAGGATTGCATTTGATGCAGAATCAGACCCTAGCAGTGTCCCTGGGAGTGGGACAGAAAAGCGCAAAGCCATGTACACCAAGGACTACAAAATGCTGGGGTTCACGGTAAGTTTCCCCAAGCACAGTCTGGTAGGCCATCTGCCAGTCAGAAGCTGGGACAGCTGACAGAGAACCCCCTTAACGTGGTCTGCAAGAAATGACACTAAGAAGCCGAGGCGCCTTCACACTGGTTTGCTTCAACAGCGGCAGGTTCCCAAGTTTATGGGCAACATTTGGCTCTGTGCAATAAAGCAGATGAACGGTGGAGAGCCCAGAGGGGTCAGCCAAGTACAGAGAGAGGGCCCAGCGCGCTCTCCAGCTCTGCTAGCTGCTTTGGAACGCTGGGTGGGTGGGGGTTGGGATGGGACACTGTGGCTTGAGGAGGAGCTGAACTGAATTAGGCTGTTTGTCCCATACCGCCCTGGGCCCAGCGCTGAGTCAGCCAAGAGCCCCGCCTGGTAGCTGTGGGCGACGGGCTTGGGAAAGAGCCCCCGTGCTAGGGGCAGTGCTGGGGCTGCAGCTTGGGTGATGGAGCACACAGGAGGCCATGCAGATGGTGCTGTCTTTCTGCAGAATCACATCAACCCAGCAATGGACTTCACGCAGACGCCACCTGGAATGCTGGCCTTAGACAACATGCTGTACCTGGCTAAAGTCCACCAGGACACCTACATCCGGGTACAGGCGGGGGCAGCTTCCTTGGGCCAGGGCTGGTCTCTGCCTCCCTACGGCCTGCTCACTCAGCCCCTCACCCCCACAGATCGTCCTGGAGAACAGCAGCCGCGAAGATAAACACGAGTGCCCCTTCGGCCGCAGCGCCATCGAGCTCACCAAGATGCTCTGCGAGGTCCTGCAGGTCGGGGAGCTCCGTAAGTCTGGCGGCTCCTCCTGCCTCTCCTGGAGCCCTGGAGCCCGCAGAGGCGCGAGGCTGCGGGACTGGGGGACCTCACTGCGGCTTCGTTTTCCATCTGAATGAGCGGTCACCCCTCTCATCCTTGTTTGAGAGCCCCGGCTGCTGCGGTCTGTGAGGGGGCAACCTGAGCCACATCGGAAGCCTCCCCTCTGTGGGCAGCCTGGGGAAGGCTGGCTGACGGGTGCAGGGTGCGCCAGCTGAGCCGGCGCCCTGGAGGAGGAAGCTGAGGAGAAACGCCCTTCCCCAGCCCCCACCTGGTCTGGTGTCGCTCCTGGGACTCAGGCCGCAGGTCCAGTTTCCGAACGCGAGCGCCCGGCCTCACTCTGCCCGTGTCTTGTCTTCCACAGCAAATGAGGGGCGCAACGACTACCACCCAATGTTCTTCACGCACGACCGGGCGTTTGAGGAGCTCTTTGGCATCTGCATCCAGCTACTGAACAAGACCTGGAAGGAGATGAGGGCCACAGCCGAGGACTTCAACAAGGTCAGTGTCGCCGAGCTCCTGAGGCGCGTGACAGCTTGTGACAAGTGGCCAGAGCCCAGGGAGTGGGGGACCAGCCCGGTGGCAGCAGCAAGGGCTGAGGCACGGCCAGCCTCTGGAACCTGGCACGGGCTACTCCCAGGGGCCCCTCTTGCTCAGAGGAGCCAGCACCCCTCCCCCACCCCCAATGACTGGGAGAGGGAGGCCGCCCCCACCCCCACCACCGGTGCCTAGCCGGCCTCAGCGCTTTCACAGTGCTCGCTTTGTGGTGCACTGCGCGGCCTTCAAGGGCTGGGAATCTGCAAGTTGAGTTTTGAAACGACTCAGCTCATGAAAAATGTGTCGAGTCATCTGTAAATCCGCCACTGGGGACGACCGTTGTTACGTGTCCCTTGCGCCTTTTTCACCCTGTAGACGTTTCCTTCGCAGTGGGGAACACGCTGCGTGTGTTCCTGTGACCTGTTGTGTATTTGTGGGCACACTGGGGTGTGCTCAGTGCCGCGTCCACAGGCCCCTCACACTCAGGGCAGCCTGTCGGGTGCGTCTGTCTCCCTTCCTGCCACGTCAAAGATGAGCAAGGGGCAGCCTGAGGTGGTTAGGTGATGGCCTGAGACTGAGGCAGAGTCAAGGCCCAGACCCCCCTCTCTGACTCCGAAGACCAGGGCTCACTCTACCCCGGTTGGCTGGCCTGTGTGAGACACCGGGGTGCGCCACCCACAGGCACTTGTCCCAAGTGGCCGCCCAAGAATGTGCCTGGGAGCAGGGCCCCACTCACCTGCGGCTCTGCAGTCCTGCTGGGCTGGGCCGGAGGGCAGCTTGGCGCCAGGGCCCTGTCTGCTGTCGGGGCAGGCCTGAGGGCGGCCTTCCTCCTTGCTCAGGTCATGCAGGTGGTCCGCGAGCAGATCACGCGGGCTCTGCCCTCCAAGCCCAACTCGCTGGATCAGTTCAAGAGCAAACTGCGAAGCCTGAGCTACTCTGAGATCCTGCGGCTGCGCCAGTCAGAGAGGATGAGCCAGGACGACTTCCAGTCCCCGCCCATCGTGTAAGTGCCCCTCCGGGTGGGCGGAAGGGCTGCTGCGACTGGGCCAGCCTTCAGAGCTCTGCCTCTGCCGGCCCCTGGCCCCCTCACCCGCTTCGTGTCCATCCCAGGGAGCTGAGGGAGAAGATCCAGCCCGAGATCCTTGAGCTGATCAAGCAGCAGCGCCTGAACCGTCTGTGTGAGGGCAGCAGCTTCCGGAAAATTGGGAACCGCCGGAGACAAGGTGAGGGGAGCTGGGCGCCGCTGGCCCTCCCCTTGCATGGGCAGCCTGCCCGGGCCCTGCAGGAGCACCAGGGAGCAGGTCACCCGCCGCTGTTCAGGGCCTGCCCCCGGCTGCCTGGCTCAGCTGCCTGGCTTCATGTGTGTTCCAGAACGCTTCTGGTATTGCCGCTTGGCGCTAAACCACAAGGTCCTGCACTACGGTGACCTGGATGACAACCCTCAAGGGGAGGTGACGTTTGAATCCCTGCAGGAGAAAAGTAGGTCCCCTTCCCTGTTGTGTCCTGGTGCCTGGACTCGATGTCGGAGACCCGAGTTCTAGTGCCGCCTGTTTCAACCTGATGATTGGTAGCGGGCCGGTAGTGTCTCTGGACCTGTCTCCTTTCCTGGCAGAGACCAGAGCTCATCTCTGCCTGCCCTACTCCGGGGCTCTGGAGAATTTCATGAGGTCATGGGTGTGATGGGTTTAAAGGGTGGTGCAAGGCTCAGCAGAGTGGCAGGGCTTGAGCCAGAGCGGAGCTTGAGAGCCAGACTGCCGAGATCCAGATTCTGGCTCCCTGCTCAGCTGCTAGTTCCAGTTGGTTGCAAGTTAATGCTTCCCTCTGCCTTGGTTTCTTTTCCTGTAAAGTGGGAATAATGGCCACTTCCCCCTTGTAAGAGGCATGAATGAGTTGTCTGGGAAAGCACTTAGGACAGGCCCAGAGGGCATGAGCTGAACTTAGCTGCTCCAGGGCCGACTCAAGTAGTTGTCAATTTGCTGTTGTGATGAGGCAGAAAGGGAGTGTCTGTTCCTTAGGTGGGACAATCCATGTTCTCCGAACTGACTCGAGGGGGCTGACACAACCCAGAAGCTGTGATCTATAGGAAGTGACCATGCAGGAGAGGACAGGACAAGGCCACCCTTCCAGGCTAACCCTTTGAGTGGGTGCAGGGCCTCCTGCCAGCGCTGAAGCACAGCCATGTGGCATCGTGAAGCTTCCACAGACTAACTCCTTCCACTTATCAGTTCCTGTTGCAGACATTAAGGCCATTGTCACTGGGAAGGATTGTCCCCACATGAAGGAGAAGAGTGCCCTGAAGCAGAACAAGGTGAGGAGAGGCAGCCTGCCACAGGAGCCCTGGGAGCGTGATGCCTGGGGGGCACAGCCAGGAGGGAGTTGCTTTTCAGTCTGCAAGCTCTCTCTCCCCTACTCTTTCTCTCTTTAAATGACTCCTGAGTGTTTTCTTCAGAAGAATTTTGAACATACACAGAAATAGCTAGAACCCCCATATCTGCATCAGCCAGGCCCAGCAGCCGCGCAGGTCTGCCTTTCCTCTGCCCCTCTCCTTTCTTACTTTGAAGAAAATCCCACAAGCCAGGTCATTTCTTCTGTAAATATTTGGAATGAGGCACTCTAATTAAGGACTCTTGAACACCATCACGATGATCATACCTAAACAGAAAAGTTACTTGATATCAAATATTCTATTGATGTTCCGATTTCCACTGTCTTACAGATACCATCATTTCTCTAAGAATACATAAACATATATGCACACACACAGACACGTAGACACACTGACACCCGTTTTGTTTTTTCCAATTAGAAACCAAATAAGGTCCATATTCTGTGATTCATCTTTCAAGTTTCTTGACTCATAAGCTCCCCCATCTCTCCGTCTGTTCTTCCTCTTTTCAGTTTATTAGACGAAGGAACCAGGCTTCTTGTCCGGTGGTTTTCCCAGCCTGGACCTTGGCCCCTGGCTCCCCACAGCATAGTTTCCCATGTTCCTCTGTCCCAAGTTTGTCCCAGATTTGTCGATCACCAGTTCAGCTGTGACCCCGTTTAGGGGAGGAGGGGAGACTGCCTCCTGCAGGCCCCGCGTTCTGTCAGGGCCCTGTGCGTGTTGGCTCTCTCTGTGATGTGAGCAGATGTGCCCGTGCTGGTTCCAGCTGTGAAGTAGGGGCAGCTAGAGACAGTCTCACACGGCCATCCCTTCTCCTCTACGCGCTCAGTATTCTCTCGAGAAATTGCTGTCATCTGCGATTGACTTCCCAGTAGTGTGGTTTACGCAAGAAAAAAGGATAAATGCTTGGTTCTTTCATGTACCTTCTTTTAAAACAATGAGTTGGTGTTTTTTAGCAAATTTAGTTTGTTTCAGCCCTGTGTCCACACTTTGGCTACAAACTATTTTTGTTGAGCTGCTTTTTGAGACTGGCAAGGCTCTCCGTGTAATTACTAAGGTACACGCTTACGGTGGTCACACCATTCTGGGCACCGATTTACAAAAGGCTCTTAGCGGGGCTCGGGCTGGGAGTGGCTGAGGGACACGTGTGCATGTGGCCAAGGCCTGGTGACTTCACTCCCGGTCAGTACCCTGATGGTCTGGCCGAGTCCCGAGGATGTGGCCAAGGCCTGGGCGTTCAGTGCCCGAGCCCCTCGCTCGTTCCAAGTAACTGAAATCCTTTCTCCTTCAGGAGGTGTTGGAGTTAGCTTTCTCCATCCTGTATGACCCTGATGAGACCTTAAACTTCATCGCGCCTAATAAGTATGAGGTGAGCAGGAGGGGCTATCTGGGCAGCGGAGGCTCTCTGTGGAGGGGCGGAGTGGGCCCGACAGGCAGGGCCACAGCCTCCAGAGGCTCCGTCACCCAGCCTCTGCCACGCTGCAGGGCCCCTGGGCTGCTCCCTGCCGGGTCCTCTGTGGCCCCAGCCGTGGGTTGTCCTCAGAAAGACAAGGTCAGCTTGGGATAATGTATTTGCCTGGGCTAGGGAAATTCTCTTTTCACTTCCTCTGTGACCGGCTACCCATGTGAAGTCGACAGAGCCTCCCTCCTCAGCACTCCCGGCCTGTGTTGCAGTGGACCCTGAGCTGGGAGTCCAGCGGAGCTGGCCCCGCCACCTGGGGGCAGACCATTCACCTGCAGTAGCGGAGATACTAGATGCGCAGTGAGGAACTGCGGTTGCGGCCAGACATCTGGAAGGCTCTGGGACCATCAGAGGGAACTGGGGGGCGAGGGGGCGGGAGCTTCTGGGGACACTTAGACAGGCCCTGAGCTGCTCCCCGGAGCTGCCAGGGGAGTTTTCTAGGAAGGAAAGAAGAACCAGCAGGTGCAGAGAGGGGCGACAGCGGTGTGGGGAAAGGAAAAAGGCAACAGCGAGAACAGGAGTTTCAGGGCCGGGAGAATTCTGTTTCTCCCTTAGGAGGCCTCTGAGTTCAGCTTCTCTGGTAGCTTTTTTTTTTTTTTTTTTGACATTTATGGACATCTTTTTTTCTCTTAATTTGCTTTTTAAAAACAACAAAGCGCTGCAGGGACCCCTGCTATGCACGGCTGTTCTCCAGTTTCTATCTGCGCTCACCATTGCTGATGTCAAGTAGCTGATGCCCAGCACTCAGGTCTCATTTTGCTGTATCCACTAATTTCATTTTTCAAAACCTTCGTCTACGTCATCTCAAAAAGTTTAAATCCTTGTCAAAGACCAGAGGCCCTTGTGCGAGGAGTGATCACCTCCGGTTTGCTCCTCCTGTTCGGTGTGCCAGAGACCGCTGTGGGTCCCCTTGGGACAGGGGCCTCGCGGGGTCCCACACTGATAACCAGGGCACCAGCTGACCTTCTGCATCTTGCTCCCCACAGTACTGCATCTGGATTGATGGCCTCAGTGCCCTCCTAGGGAAGGACATGTCCAGCGAGCTGACCAAGAGTGACCTGGACACCCTGCTGAGCATGGAGATGAAGCTGCGGCTGCTGGACCTGGAGAATATCCAGATCCCGGAGGCCCCCCCGCCGGTGCCCAAGGAGCCCAGCAGCTATGACTTCGTCTACCACTACGGTTGAGCCTGGAGCCAGAGACGGCAGTGCCCAGGACGGGACTTGGGCCAGGAGGAACACTCACAGTCTGGTGCCTTGCCCTTTGCTTGTACAGGATCTGTAGTGACTGCAGTGGTCAGTGAGCGCCAGCCATCCCGGCAGCCCACCTCGGACCACCGTGCTTCCTCTTGGTCCCTGCCCACCAGGAGTCACGAGGGCCCGAGCCCCCATCACCTGGGGGCCGGCACCTCACCATGAGGAACGGACAGGCGCTCCTGCCTTGCAGCCCGCGGGACTGCTTCTTGAGCTGGATTTAACAGCAGCCACTCCCCTTTCTTCCCGAGCCTGCTCTCTGGTCATCTGGACCCCACGGGGACAAGAGCTGGCCCAGAAAGGCCGCCTCAGAGGGCAGCGGCGCTGGCGTGTCGACAGCCTCCGAGACACTGCCTTGGGTGGCCCGGGTCTCCCGTCCGTGGGGGCCCTGGCCTGTCCTTGCTAGACTCCTCATCTGCCTTTGTCGGCTTCGTGAAGGCTCACGGTGGCCTCACACAGTGCAGATGCCGCTGCCGCTGCCGTGTGTGGCTCTCGCAGCTCTGGTCTCGACCCCACCAGGCCTGGCTGTCTGCGCAGCTGTGGGGCTGAGGGACACATCTGCTACGTGCTTTCGGCTGTCTGCAAGTCGAAGGCCTTCAGGCTAAGTCCCGCCCCCTGAGGCTCAAGAACCTGCTGGCAGAGGCCAGAGGAGGCCTGTGGTGTGGGCTGGATCCCACTGCCCGCACACGAGCTCTCTTCTGGGAGAGAGATTCTGCCTCACCTGAGTTGTTGCCCCTGCAGTGTGCTTCCTCTGGCCTCCCAGACCTCAGGAAGTTTGCCTCCCTCTATCCCTCCCATCCCAGCGCTGGGGTTTCGCCACCGGCCGTGATGCCAGGGAGCAGCCTTTCCTGGGCGCCACTCTTGCGAGCCACGCGCAGCCCCTCGCTCGGACAGACCACCGCGCCGCACGCGTCGGTACCGCCCGGCGAAGAGTGTGCTATATATTTTCTCTACTCACACAGACCTGTATATATATTTATATAAGACCTCCTGTCCTTGGATGGAGTGGTTATGGGAAAATAAACTTGGAGGCCCCTCCCAAAAGATACTGTAAAAAGACAGTAACACTTCCCATTGTGAGCCAAGATTATAATCCGAGAAGGGCCAGGAGCTTCCTGTCAGTAACCCAGTTTTCAATAAATACTCTTTCACGTACAGACTGGTTCCTTTCACAGCTGTCTGCCTGTCTGCCACCAGCTTCTGCCTGACCTCTGCCAGCGGAGCTCGTGCCCCCTCAGCACCTCAAACCCCCTGCCTCCACACCCCCAGAGGATGCCCACAGATTGTCCACAGGAACGAGGGCCTGCTGGGCACGCGGGGAGAGGCATCCCAGACACCCCGGGGAACAGTCCCGCTCCCTGCCAGAGCCCCTCCAGGGAACAGCTCTCACGTCCTTGTCTTACACAGAAGTCGCCGTCTTCACCCCGCGCGTTGCCAGTGCTCAGTGCCCGGCCTTCCAGCTGGTGTCCCAGGCTTTGGCTCCAAACCTCAGCCCAAGTAGCCGGGAGGCTGGGTTGAGGGTGGGGCCGAAAATCGGTTTCTCTCAGAAGGAGCCAAGGACAAGTTTGTTCAAAAGGCAGAGAAAGTGCACAGACCTTGGGCACTTCGGAGCCAAGCCCTTGGCAGTGATGGGCGCCACTGTAGGTGCGAGGTAAGTGCCCAGTAACCGTGCCCACGAGGTGCCCGCTGGTGGTGGCAGACCACAGGGTTTGCCAAGCACTCTGCTTACACCCTGGCCTTGAGCCTGCTGCTCAGCAAGGCTGGGGAGAGCAGCTGTAGGCTTGCCAGGATCCATGTTTGTAGCTAGTCTTCAGCCAGAGAGCGCAGGAGGAGCTGGGGGGGAGGCGCAGGAAGCCATGAGGCCCTCACCTGGCCTGCCACCGTCACAGGCATCCTGTAAGCCCCTAGCTGGCATTTGGGGGACCCCTGCCACTTGCCCCGTGGCTGCTTTCCACCTGT